GCTCTGGGAACAGCTGCTGGCGGTCTCCTCGGATTTGTAATGTGGGTGGGGTTTGGGGGGGCTGAAGCCCTGGGCTTTCTCAGCCTGTCTCTTTGCCTGCTGGGACCCCACCTTCTCTTCTCCCGCTGGGGCATTTGTTTGAAACAAGCCACCCAAATGAGGACAATTCTAAAAAAAATGCCAGAGCCTTGGAGTCAATTGAGGATACTTCGCTGAAACTTTGCTCCTTTGCTAAACCCCAGAACAACCTCTCAGCTCAGGGGTCCCCAAACTTGGCAACTTTCAGACTTGTGGACTTCAACTCCCAGATTTCTCCAGCCAGCTATGCTATGCTATGCTGGCTGGAGAATTCTGGGAGTTGAAGTCCACAAGTCTTAAAAGTTGCCAAGTTTGGAGACCTCTGTCTTAGCTGCATCTACGCAACAACAACAGCAAAACAACAACAAAACAAAAATGAACTTGGAGCTAGGTTGGTGTAGTAGTTCAAGTGCAGACCTAGAAATCAGGAGCCTGTGAGTTCTAGTCCTTAGGTATGAAAGCTGGCTAGGTGACATTGAGCCAATCACCAGGAGACGATGAGTTCTAGTCCTGCCTTCGGCATGAAAGCTGGCTAGGTGACTTTGAGCCAATCACCAGGAGATGATGAGTTCTAGTCCTGCCTTAGGCATGAAAGCTGGCTAGGTGACGTTGGGCCAGTCACTTTCAGTCCAACTTACAGGTTTGTTGTTATAGGGAAAATAGGAGGATGAAGAAATGTTTAGTATGTTTGCCACCTTGAGTATTAATAAATACTCAAAAGTATTAAAGACATGATTTTTTAAAAATCTAAAAAAAAACCCCACAGAATATTGCTATAGCAATACCACTTAGACTTATATATCGCTTCGTAGTACTTTACAGTCTTCTCAAAGTGATTTGCAGAGTTAGCATATTCGTGCCCCCCCCACCCAAGAGCTATCTGAGTCCTCATTTTACCAACCTCGGAAGGATGGAAGGCTGAGTCAACCTTGAGCCTGGTGAGATTTGATCTGCCAAATTGCAGGCAGTCAGGAGAAGTAGCCTGTTGTGAAGGGATGTGGGGGGATAATCTAGTCTGACCCCTTGTCCAGGGTAGAAAACTGTAACTTCAGCCATCCATCCCCAATAGTCGGTTGTCTCGCCTATGCTGAAACAGTTGCCATGAAGGATGGGCCACTAGATGCATTGATGATTTCTAGATGCAGCTTGGTGATAAACTCCAAGAAAGGGAGAGTTGAAAGGGGCTTTTGAGATTTGTATTTTATTGATAACCCACCCTTATTATTTTGATAAAGTAGACCACAACCTACTACTTGATAAGATAGAAAAATGTGGGTTAGGCAGTATCAACACCAGATGGATTTATAACTGGCTGACCAACTTCACTCAATGTGTAGTCCTCAATGGAACTGCAGCTACACGCGGGGAAGTATGCAGAGGGGCACCCCGAGGCTCTGTTTTAGGCCCAACATCTTCATCAATTATTTGGTTGAAGGGATAGATGGGGATCTCATCAAATTTGTAGATGACACCAAGCTGGCAGGAATAGTCAAGACACCAATCCAGAAGGTGAGCTTAAGATACAGAAGGAACTTGACAGACTTGAACACTGGGTGCTAACAAAATCAAAATCGTTGGTGAAAAAAGTATGGTTTTATGTTTAGGCAAGTAAAACCAAAGGGACAGGTACAGTATAGGACGTACCACCTGGCTAAATAGTAGTAACTATGAGAGGGAACTTGGAGTCCTAGTGGACAATCACTTAGATATGAGCCAGCAGTGCGTGGCAGCTGCCAAAAAAAACAACTCAGTTCTAGGCGTTAACAGAGGGATAGAATCAAGATCGTGTTAAGTATTAATACCACATTATAAATAATGCTGTGGTAAGGCCACACTTGGAATCCTGCATCCAGTTTTGATCGCCATAATATAAAAAAGATGTTGAGACTCTAGAAAGAGTGCAGAGAAGAGTGACAAAGAGGATCAGGGGACTGGAGGATAAAATATAAAGAACGGTTGCTGGGAACAGTTACATCTACTTTAATGAAAAGAAGGACTAGGGGTGACATGATAGCAGTATTCTCAATATCTCAGGGGTTGCCACAACGAAGAGGGAGTCAAGCTATTCTGCAAAGCACCAGAAGGCAGGATAAGCAATGGATGGAAACAATTAATCGGTGGAACAACTTGCCTCCAGAAGTTGTGGATGCTCCAACACTGGAGATTTTGAAAAAGAGGTTGGGCAACCATTTGTCTGAAATGATATAGGGTTTCTTGCCTGAGCAGGGGGTTGGACTAGAAGACCTCCAAGGTCCCTTTCCAACTGTGTTATTCTGTATTCTAATTCAAGGCAGCGAACTGTGCCTAATATTTCTTCCTCCTGTTTTCCCTACAACAACAATCCTGTGAGGTGGGTTGGGCTACAAGAGAATAACTGGCCCAAAGTCACTCAGCCAGCTTTCGTGCCTAAGGTAGAACTAGAACTCACAACCCCCCCACCCACACATTCCCACCTGAGTTCTTTTAACACCTGCAGCCAAGAAGCATCCTCTCTCTACCGATCCTAACCACAAAAGTTATTTTATTGTTAGGACTGTTTCCTGATGTCCAGCCAAAATCACTGCTAAAGTTTGATGCTTCTTTTCTCTGTGTTGTGTGAACCCAGCCCATGTTTTTAAGTACCTGGATCACTGAGGTTTTTTGGGGGTTTTTTTCCCCCCTGAAGCTGGTATGTGCGGTTAACCCAAACCGCCGAAATAAAATGATACCAATCCCTCCATTAAGGAGTGAAAATACACAGAAGGTTAAATTCATTCTCATCTGGAATTTGTGGCCAGGATAAGATTATCTGGTTTTGCATTTTGATTATGTCTGTCGAAAGACAACTCTGTTTCTGCCAACGGCCTCTTTATTCTGTTTGCTTTAGAGGGAAGTCGGACTTCAGGGAATCCGACGGCCTCCATTCGTCACTTCGTTTATATATTTTTAGCCTTAAAAAGAGCATTTTTTTTTAAAAAAAAGCCTCCAATGTTTAGGGGAGTTAAGAAAGAGACCCTTTAAAAAAACCTCTCCTTCTTCCCTAAAAAATTCATATTTATCTATCTACTTCATCTCACCTCCAAATGATTAAAAGCAGATTTAAAATAGAAGTTGGCGTGTGGAGGGTGGAAAAGTCTAAATTCTTAATTCGCCAACACTGACAATGCTTTGGAGGGATTGTGGGGGAAGAAGAATTGCTGATCTGACCCAATTTGCTTTTTATTTTTTTTCCCCCTATTTTCAAGTGGCCGGTTTCTTGCTCTGCCTAACTAGGAAAGCAAGCTGGGGAGAAAAAGAGGCAGGCGGGGTGACCAAGCTGAGATCTATAGTCCCCTGGAGGAACATTAATATAAATCAATGTTCCTGTGTGGTTCGAACATTCGTTTTCGATGACCCTTGCATAGAAAGGAAACTCCTAGCTTTCTTCAAACAGGATGTTCCCCTGGATTTCTTTGGAATCGGGCTGTCAAATCCAATCCGTTTTAGAACAGGCGAAAAATCCGCCTTGGCAAATCTTCACTTTGCTCCACCAAAATGGGTTTCTTTTCTTCTTTTTCTTCCTTTTAACCCTCTCTTTTTTTTTCTTCCTCTTCTTCCCCCCGCTGGCCCATCCATCCTAATCCAACCAATTTCATGCCTGGGAATATTCCCACTGGGCACCCCCCCCGCCCCCCACTGCGCCTCGTCCCCGTGGTTTTAATTACCAATTTTTACTCTCCTGCCACAACAAGTCCTCTCGTTCAACATGCATCTCACACCCGGCCAGACTGAAGGAAGCCCTCCAAAGCGTGTCATTTGGCTTGGCAGGTTGTTTTTTTGGGCGGGTGGGGAAGGAAATCCAAACACATCTAAGGAGCCGAGTCCTGGTTAAGTATCCCTGCCTGGGGGTCAGACAACTTTTGACATCGGTTTTGGTCGTTGATCAAAGACACGGCTTTAAAAGTGGAGCCTATCGTGCAGTAAAAGGAACCGGGGATACCTAAGAGAAATTTAAGCTGCTTAGCAGGGCCGGGAAACATCGGTGGGTCAAACAGCAATTGGTGGTGTTGGTCTCAAGGTGGTGGAGTGTGAGCTGTTGAACATAATATAGTGTCCATAAGTCATCGGGGGCAAAGCTGCACAGCATCAACGAGGCGCTTTTGGCCGGGGCGGTGGGTGCAAATTTGGGGCGCTCTGTGCACTGGTAAAATGGCAACCGTCTTGGGCCTATCCGCATTGAATATGGAGGGGACAACACAAATTTACTTTATAAATGGGAACAATGCAGTGTTGCTGAAAGGACGAAGAGCAGAATTGTGCCTGACTTTTGCTCTGTATGAATTTGGAAAGAAAAAAGGGAAGGAAAGAAGGGAGGGAGAGAGAGGGAGAGAGAGGAAGGGAGGGAGGGAAGGAAGAAGGAAGGGTAAAGAAAGGAAAGAAAAGATGGAAGGAAAAGGGAAGGAAGGCAAGGAAGGAAAGAAGGAAGGAAGGAAGGAAGAAGGGAGGATGGGAGTGAGAGAGAGGAAGGGAGGGAGGGAAGAAGGAGGGAAGGAAGGAAAGATGGAAGAGAGAAGGAAGGAGAAACAAAAAAGGAAGAAAAAGAAAAAAGTTAAATGAGGAAGAAAGGAGAGGATGGAGGGAAGGAAAAAGAAAGAAAGAAAGGAAAGAAAAAGAAGGAAGGAAGAAAGAAAGAAAGAAAGAAAGAAAGAAAGAAAGAAAGAAAGAAAG